TGCCTCTCCCTCTCTGTGCACACAAGAATCGACTGTCTCTGTGTGCCTCTCCCTCTCTCTGTGCACACGAGAATCGACTGTCTCTGTGTGCCTCTCCCTCTCTGTGCACACGACAATCGACTGTCTCTGCGTGCCTCTCCCTCTCTGTGCACACGAGAATCGTCTATATGTGCCTCTCCCTCTCTGTGCACAAGAGAATCGACTGTCTCTGTGTGCCTCTCCCTCTGTGCACACGACAATCGACCGTCTCTGCGTGCCTCTCTCTCTGTGCACACGAGGATCGACTGTCTCTGCGTGCCTCTCCCTCTGTGCACACGACAATTGACTGTCTCTGCGTGCCTCTCCCTCTCTCTGTGCACACGAGGATCGACTGTCTCTGCGTGCCTCTCCCTCTGTGCACACGAGGATCGACTGTCTCTGCGTGCCTCTCCCTCTCTCTGTACACATGAGAATCGACTGTCTCTGCGTGCCTCTCCCTCTGTGCACACGAGAATCGACTGTCTACGCGTCTCTGTGCACACGAGAATCAACTGTCTCTGCGTACCTCTCCTGTGCACACGAGTGAAAATGAGAGGAGGCCCTCTGACAGGCCTTCCCACCTCCCAGCACGACTTGGTGTTGACATTCGTCCATTGTCTGAGGAACATTCTGCAGCGTGGCCACCCCAGGGCTGGGGATGAAGGGCATGCCGGCTTTCCTGCACAGTGTATTATATACGACACTGTGGAGGACATCTTCGGCACTCTTGGGATGGCCCGTGCCTCACCCATGGCTGCCTAGCACTGGGCCTTGGGTCCTTCACGCCCCCGACAAGCATCTGGTTAGTCTAGAGACTGCCATTTTGAGAGGACGAGGCCAACCCTCTTTTCTGGTCCCAACAGAGGACAGCATGACAGGGGCCCCTTGGGGAAAAGTTCTTTTTTCCACATCAATTGTGAGGTTGGATAGAGGTCAGTCAGCCCAGTGTCCCTGAAATCACCTGCCATGTCCCTGGAGCCTCCTTTGTCCAAGGCCTAAGAGTTTGAGTTGATGTTTTGCACTGATCCAGCCTCTGAGCTGCTGGGGGCCCCCCTCCACCCGTTACACCACAGGCCCCTTTGCCCTGCCCAGACCCTCCCATGTTCCTTTGGACCCTCTCCTGTCCTGCTCATGTCTTCATCTGGCCATGCAGGCTGCAGGTCCCTCCACGTGTTCTTAACAGCAGACACTGACCAGGCACCCACTGTGTGCTGGTGTGGGCACTGCCCGTTCCCAAGGCAGGCAATAAACAGTGCCTGTGATAAACCAGTGGCTGGAAGGAGATGTGCTGTGGGTAAGGCAGGGAGGCATCATGGAAGGGGAGGCCCTGGCCACCTGGAGCTTGAAGTAACCCTGGTGTTCTCTTCTAGCTGGAGGCCCGGACGCCACTGCCCCGCGGGACGGTAAGGAGCGTTTCTTCTTTCCCATGACTGTTAGTCTAGAGGTCTGCATCTAACAGCTGGTGCACAGAGAAGACGGGCGTGCGATGGTGGCCCCCATCTGGTCTCATGTTACTGGAACAACAGTTGGTGCTGTAGTGTCCTGGAGTCTGTGCACCTCGCCGTCAGCACCTGCTGGGGTGGGGGACACAGACACATGACAGCCCCTCTGTGTCAGACTGGGTGTCTCCATGAGGGCAACATGTAAATAACATCACCTTTTGTGTCTGTGGCTCACTGCTCCTCCAGACTAGAAGCTCCTGGGTGCTAAAACCCACATTTCATTGTCTTTGTCTGTCTTCTCTCACCAGAATGCCAGGCACAGGGATAGATACCTCTAGGATGGGTGGGAGGGTGGATGGATGGATGGATGGGTGGGTGAGTGGGTGGGTGAGCGGGTGGATGGATGGATGGGTGAGTGGACGGACGGATGGATGGATGGATGGATGAGTGGATGGATGGATGGATGAATGGGTGGATGGATGGATGGATGAGTGAGTGGATGGATGAATGGATGGATGGGTGGATGGATGGATGGATGGATAAGTGAGTGGATGGATGGATGGATGGATGGATGGGTGGCTGGATGGATGGGTGGCTGGATGGATGAGTGAGTGGATGGATGGATGGGTGGATGGATGAATGAGTGGATGGATGGGTGGATGGATGGATGGATGGATGGATGGATGGATGAGTGAGTGGATGGATGGATGGATGGGTGGGTGGATGGATGGATGAGTGGATGGATGGATGGATGGATGGATGGATGGATGAGTGAGTGAATTGATGGATGGATGGATGGATGAGTAGATAGATGGATGCAAAAGGAATGAACAGATGGCCACTTGGTGTGCCATGGAGAGGACTGGCACTGGGGTGGGCAGAGGATGATCGGCCAGTTTCAGCATTTATGGCTCACTGGGGTCATGCCTGGAGGATGGCGGGGTTCTGCACCCTTGCTCCCCTCCACACACACTTGGGGGCACCTGCCCAGGGCCTGGGGGCAGCTCGGCTCACCTAGGAGACCAGACCCTCCTGCCATATAAGAATGCAAGCTGGAGTCGGATGAGGGCAGGGCCTCTGAAGGGACGGCAGTGTGGATGGGGCCTCGGGAGGGGTGTCGGGGATGTAAGTGGGGCCTGAGAGCACCTCAGCCTTCACCACAGCCCCACCACCTCATCTGCAGGACAATGAAGTGGCCGCCCTGCAGCCCCCTGTGGTGCACGAGGGCCACCTATACTCCTGGCAGGAGCCCTCCCACTCTACAGCACGACCCTGGAGGTCAGATGGCATCCTGGCCAACCCCCCACGCCTGCCGGACCCCCAGCCCTACCCTGGAGCCCCGTACCACAGCTCCTACGTGCACCTCCAGCCAGCTCGCCCCACCAGCGCACTTACGCATGCACACCAGGACTTCCAGCCGGTGGTGAGTGCCCAGGGGCGTTGGAACCCAGGTGCTGGGCTATAGGGCCCTGGGAGAAGGACCCAGATCCCAGGGAGGTTCCAGGGCGGGGGCAGGTGTGCAGCTTCTAGGCAGCGTCCACTCTGACTGGTCAGGCCACACACGCTGGCTACCACCAGGACACCAGGATCCACCCTCTGATAGAGTTAAAATGCCTCCAAGGTGAGTCTCATTCAAGACCTAGAGACATGGGCAGTGGCAGGTGACAGTGGGGACAGGAGCCTGGTGAGTCTCTGCTCCAGGAGGAGGCTGGCTGGGTGAGGGGCTGACACCTAGGGCTGCTCTGGACCCCATGGGCAGAGCTGGACCCCAGGGGAGTGGGACAGGTAGGGGTGGGGCATCCTGGCCAAGACAGGGAGGATGCTTCCTGCATCCACACCACCCAAAACTGCCCATTCCCCTAAGCTGACCTGCCGCAGGGGTGCCCTAGACTCAGCGACAGCAAGCCTCCTCCACCTGCCCCCTCTCTGCTCTCGGCCCTTCTCATCCCCTCGGTGTCACGGGGCAGGGACAGGGCATCGGGGACCCAGCCTGGGAGACGGCACCTCTGCCACTGACCTGTGACCTGTGACGCCCTTTCCTCACTCCAGCTCCACCTGGTCGCCCTCAACAGCCCGCTGACGGGCGGCCTGCGCGGCATCCGTGGCGCCGACTTCCAGTGCTTCCAGCAGGCACGGGCCGTGGGGCTTGCCGGCACCTTCCGTGCCTTCCTGTCCTCGCGGCTGCAGGACCTGCACAGCATCGTGCGCCGTGCTGACCGCGGGGGCGTGCCCATCGTCAACCTCAAGGTGGGGCCAGCCGCCCTGTGGGGGCCTGGCTGAGAGGAGGGGCCTTAGCGGAGGAGGGGGCCACAGGGGCAGGAATCCACGCAGGGACGTCCCTCAAGAGGGTGGGGGTGGAGGTGCCACCCACCACAGGCGGCTCCTGGGTGGGCACCTTGTGGCCTGGCCCCAGCTGGCGTGTGGGTGCGGCTGTTTGCTTTGCAGGCACTCACCAGGTCTTCCGTACCCCAGAAGGTCGCCACCTCTGCCAGTGAATTCCAGAACGCCCCCCCACACCACATACACACACAGCCAATAGCCCTGCACCCAGGGCAGTGCCTCCAGCAGCCCTGGCGCCCTGGTGTCTATCACACGTGGTGTCTGCCATGCATGGGGTCTCTTGTCACATGTGGCATCTGTCATGCATGGGGTCTCCTGACACGCATGCGGTCTCCTGTCACACGTGGGGTCTCCTGGGCCATGCGCTCTCAGCCACGTAGGCCAGGGCTGGGCTGTTCATACTCATGGTCACCCCTGAGCACAACCAAGGGGCAGGAAACATCCTCCCGTGGTGTTACTCAAGCTCCCACCCCCAGCTCTCCCACTTTGGCCTGGGGGGTTCAGAGCTGAGTCTGCTCAGACCCCTCACCTAGCTTTATTCCATGGTTAATCCTAACTCTGGGCTGCTAGTGACCCCAGGTGCTGCGGCTTCCCAACATCCCGGGAGCACTGGGGCTCCTTAAAATCCTGCTTCAGGATGGGGGTGGGGGCCGGCGCCCCGCTAGCCATGGGCTGCCCAGCGCCCGGGGAGCAGGAGGCCGCAGACCCCACCCACCCCCCCGGCAGGCCCTCTGCCCTCATTGGTGCAGCTCTGTCCTTTGGGCAGGATGTGACCAGGGACCAAGTAAACCCTCCCCTTTTCCTCCACAGGACGAGGTGCTCTTCTCCAGCTGGGAGGCCTTGTTCTCGGGCTCCGAGGGCCAGCTGAGGCCTGGGGCCCGCATCCTCTCCTTTGACGGCAGGGACATCCTGAGGCACCCTGCCTGGTAGGTCCCCCAACTGTGGCACGGCCGGGCAGCGTGGCTGTAAGGCAGCTCGGGGTGGGGGGCTTCTGCTGCCCTTTATTCTTTAGAAAACCCCAACTTTGAAGGTGTTCGCCTGAGTTCTCTGGTCTGATCTTACATGTGATACATGCTCGCTGTTTAAAACGTAAATCCAGAAGAGCATAAAGAACTAATCCTTGGTAACATTTTTAAGAACACAAAAAATGAAACATTCCTATCTAACCTGCTTTTCCTGCTGGCACCGGGCAAGGTTCTCTCCCGTTCCAGGTCTACTGTGACGGTATGTCCAACCCCCACTGTCACGTACACCCCAATGTGGTGACTTGCCTCAGATGTGCGTCTGTACACGTGCATCTGCAGTTTGTGGAGTAAGCCCCTACAGGCGGGGTTCCCAGCTGAGCCTGTGTGCATGGAGAATGCTGGCAGACATTGCTGGCTTGCCCTCAGAAGGCTCCACCAAACGTCCCTCCTGCTGAGAAGGCGTGCTGGTGCCTGTTCCGTAAAGGGTGGCTCTGGGGGTCAGGCATGGCCCCAGCGGGCCTGGGTCTGCACTCACTGGTCTCCCTGAGCAGCACCTGTGAGGTGTGTCCTCTGGGACCTGACGTAGAAGCCACAGGCAGGGATATGGGCCAGTCCCCAGGACGGGCCGAGACCAGAACCCCACGCAGTGGAGTTTGTCCGGACCAAAAGCTTCAGAGAGGCTTCACCCGGCCCCAGGAAGGACCAGCGCCTGATGTTATCTGGCCCAGCCCGAGGGGAGCCCCCTGCTCCATGGGGGCACAGTCAGGGGTGGACCCCCTTCTGATAGAACGGGGCAGCTGGCTGGCCAAGAAACCGTGCCTGCTGCGCCCCAAGCTCCTCCCCGCCCCCCCCTTCTCCAGCCTGGCCACCGCCAGCCTCTGCCCCGGGGAGTGAGCTGTCCTGCCTGGTCTCCACCCTGGGCGTGGCCTGGGGTGCGCTGATGGCAGTGCATCTTGCAGGCCCCAGAAGAGCGTGTGGCACGGCTCGGACCCCAGCGGGCGCCGGCTCACCGAGAGTTACTGCGAGACATGGCGGACAGAGGACGCGGCCGCCAGGGGCCAAGCCTCCTCACTGCTGGCGGGCAAGCTGCTGGGGCAGACGGCCGAGAGCTGCCGCAATGCCTTCATCGTCCTCTGCATTGAGAACAGCTTCATGACCACCTTCTCCTAGTGGGGACTCTGCTGCACAGATGGACAGACAGGTGGCCGGGAAGAGCCTCCATGGCGGGCAGCGTGCCTGGGGCGAAAGCGGCCAGCACCTGTGTGGGACCTGGCAGGTTCACTTTTCTGTATATTTCATGTCTTCATGTAACCCCTCAAGAAATAAAAGGAGCCAAAGAGTGTATTTTTTAAAAAGTTTAAGAGAGTCTGGTGCCGAGACTTTTTCTCCCGCCTGCAAGCCCCCGCTGGCTGCAGCCCAGGTCCCTGGGAGGCTGGGGCCTTGCGGTGCTGTCCTCGGCCCTCTGGAGCCTACTGGGCCCCAGTCAGACCCGCGGCTGGAGCACAGCCTGATGTGGGCAAGAGGCCGGCTTTGGGGCTCACTGCTGGCACAGATCGTGGGCACCCCGGGCCCCAGGGAGGGCCCTCAGTTGTCCAGCGGCACCAACTCAGTGTCCTGCCTGAGCCCCTCTTGTGCTCAAAGCCCCAAACTGTGCAGATCTTGGTAAGGCCCTGGGCCACCCCTGCCCTCGCCCCGCCTCCTGAGGGCCAGAGACAGGGAAGGGCCAGTGCACGCCCAGACCCTGCTCCGCCACCGCCCACTGGTACCTGCCTGTAGCCAGGCTGCCCTCCTGTTGAACATCCTGGGACACGTGGGTGGGCAGGGGGCCCTGGGGAAGCCTGCAGGGATGGGGCTGCGCTAGGGGCCATGCGGGGAGGGGTGGCCAGAGTTCACCACCCAGGAGCCAGGCGAACCTGTCACGCGTGCTGCGCTGTAACACCGTGCCCGCTGTTCTGTGGGCATGCACTTGGGGTTGGCCTCGTGAGCCAGCAGGCTCAGCCCCCGGAGCTTGCGGACTGTGTGTGACATGAGGCTGTTTGAAACCAGGCCCCAATTAAGGGAAATGGCCCCTCACAGCTGTCTGGTCTGTCAGCCAAGCGCCGTCACAGAAGGGGCAGTCACGTGATGCGAGCTGTCCACATGTCCAAGTGCTGAGACCCTCTTCTCCCCCAGGGCCACCAGGCAGCCAAGAGCCTGCGCAGGCCAGCCCAGCAGCCCAACTGTTTCTCCTTCAGCACCTTTTATGGAGTTTGCAGGCTTAGGTCCCCCAGGCCCCCAGACCCAGCTCCCCGCATTCATGCCCAGCGGCGGCCGCCCCGCAGGGCCCTGGGCAGAGCCTGCTGTCCTGGAATCACTATACTGCAGCCCCAGCCAGCGGGGCCCAGCGCCGCTCACTCTGTCTCGGGGTTGGCTGGGGAGTTCAGACCACAGAGAAGGGCGGTTTCCCAAGCCCGGGGGGTCTGGGGCAGTGTGCTGAGCACACGGCCACGTGGGTGGCATGTACGGGAGCTGGTGGGCACTGAAATGGGTGGCAGGGGACTCGCCCTGGCTGGGGTGGGGCTCCCTGGGGGGGCGTCAGGGTGCAGAGCCCTGCAGCCTGGCATCTGGGCACGGTGGGGTCCTCAGCTGAGCCCCACCTCCACACACGCATCCTGCGGGAGCCCCTGGCGTGGAATGAGAAAGGAGGCAGAGAGGCAGCAGGCCCTTCCAAGGAGCTCCACCCTCATCACCTTCCCCTCACCTACGTGCAGCCAGCCTCGGCCCCGAGAGGCCCACTCACCTCAGCAGGCCTGGGGACCCCTGGGTGCACAGCTGCAGGCCGGTCCTCTGGCCAGGGTCCTTTGATCTGATGGCCCAAGCTGTCCACACCAGCTGCCCCACCCCCGCGGCAGGGCTGAGCTCCTCCCCAGGAGGGACAGGGTGAGGTGGTGTAGGAGTGGTAACGCCCAGGACACCCCTGGCTCCGCGGGGTCCCTGCCCAAGGCAGGTGGGGGGGTACCTGGTCTTTCAACTGCCCTCTCCCCCAGCCCCCCAGGCAGGAATCGGAGCCCCATGTCTCGCTCAGGTGGATGACTTAATGTGACTTCTCGAGGGACAGCACAAATGGTTCTCGGCCATTTCTCCCCCAGCACCAGCCCGGTGCGGGCACAGCTGTGTGCGCGTGGCGGGCCGTGCGTCCTACCAGGGATGCAGAGATGAGCTGCTCATGCACGGGGGGGGGCACGTATGGGCTTGAGTGTGTGCGGACACACGTAAGCACATGCCCAGTGCGTGAGCACACGTGGTGTGTGTGAGCATGAGCCTGTCTCCATACCGCCCAGCAGGGCTGTGCTCACACACACCAGCACCTCGTCGTCTTCTCGGAGGGAGGCCAGCATGGACCCAGTTCACCAAGCGGCAGACGGAGGGTCCCTGAGGTGGGCTGAGAAGCTGTCGCCCTTGGGTGGGGACGTGCCTGCCCCGACCCCCCCACTGAACCAGACACATGGAATAAGTTTACCCTCTTTATGTCACTTGTTCTAAAAAAAGTAACAGCATGGATTACAGTCCAGACACCTGGGACGACTGGAAATATCACAGCTTAGCTGGGGCCCAGGGTCTCGGGTTCTGCACCGGGTCCCTCGGCTGCAGCTCCCACTCCTGACCCGGTGCTAGGACACGCTGTGAGGGGCCGGTGTCCTCCACCTGCCCTCGGAGACAGACAGGACTTGCCTGTGGGGCGAGGCCAAGAGGCCCCACAGTGGACCCCAGGACCCTCACCACCCCCGCTCCAGACAAGGGGCAGCCTGCGGCGGTGCGGCCAGGCAGCTGTCCTGAGGGCCCCGGCAGATCTTTGTGCCGTGGCCAGAGCTACGTGCTGAGGGTGGGCTGGGTGAGGGGCTCTCCCCCGACTGATGTGGCAGCTCACCCACTGCAGTCACAGGGACGGGCCAAGGGTCTCACGGGAAGGCTGCCCCCTGCTGTCCCCATTAGTCGCCGGCTCTGCAACCTGAACCCTGGGTTTGGACAGTGCCAGAGCAGTGGCACCACTGATGCCAGCAGGCAGCCGGCCGGGGACATGGCCCATCTGGGACGCTGAGGCCTGGTTTGGTCTATGTGTGGTCTTCTGTGTCAGGGGTCCCGGCGGGCGGCTCAGGCCTTCTCCTCGGGCAACGGGCTCCGCTCACGGGTGGCTGTCCCGAGGGCCTGACTGTTCTCCTCTGGTGGCAGCGGCGGGGTGGTGGGCTGCAAGCTGTCCAGGCCCCCGTCCTCCACGCCCAGCGCCTCTGCTGGGCTCATCATCTCCTGGGCCAGGGGCAGGGGCTTGGGGCGGGCCCGGCGGCAGTGCTGCAGGCCCACCAGCACGGCCCCGGAGAAGTAGGCCGCGGACAGCACGAGGAAGTACCCAAAGTAGACGAGGAACTGCAAGAGAGAGGGCAGGTGGGAGGTGGGGCTCGGGGCGGTCAAAAGGCCAGCCGTACACGTGACCGTGCTCGGCCCCTCACCTTGAGCACGTCCCACAGTGCCCACCACCAGGAGCACAGTGGCCAGCGCGGCGAGGGTCTGGTACACCTGCTATCCCAGAATCCCCACGGAAGTCCCAGTCCTCTTCTGCACCTGCGTGTTCTCCACTTTCTGCCTGAGCCTCTTTGCTAATTTTGCATGATCCCAAATGTGCGCTTTGTGGGGTGGCGTTCCTGTGGCTGTGGAGAGCTCCTGGGCGTCACCTCTGTGTCCCCACATGCTGGGCTGGTCAAGCAGAGCCTCGGCGGGAGGCCAGGGTCCACTCCTCCCTGAGCCCTGCTTCCCAAGCCCCCAAGACTCGGCCACCCCACTTGCTGAGCCCGAGACTTTGGCACTTCTGCCCACTGAACTGCAGCCATCTCCTCCTTGGTGAAAAAGGGACGCTGCAGCAGTGACACAAGGAAATGCACGCCCAGTGCACAAAACAACCATTCCCCTCCCGATCCTCACGGCTGCCAGAGGAATAGGAGGGACAGATCCCCGGGGTACCGGGGAGGGGCAGGGTATGCCCCCTGGGTACCAGGGAGGGGTGGGGTATGTCCCTGGGGTACCAGGGAGGGGTGGGGTATGCCCCTGGGGTACCAGGGAGGGACAAGGTATGCCCCTGGGGTACCAGGGAGGGACAGGGTATGCCCCTGGGGTACCAGGGAGGGGTGGGATATGCCCCCGGGGTACCAGGGAAGGGCGGGGTATACCCCCGGGGTGCCAGGGAGGGACGGGATATGTCCCCGAGGTACCAGGGAGGGACGGGATATGTCTCTGGGGTACCATGTCCTGGAGGTCTGGCGCGGTCTAGGGCATGAGGCGTCTGTGGGCTAGAACCAGGAGTGGGTCCTGTTCAACACCCCTGTCGCCCCTCAGCTCTGGTCCCCTCAGCTTCTAGGAAAGCTCACTTCAAAAGGAACTCAGGAAACAAACCATCGGGGCTTCACTTCCAGGGAGATGGCATCAACACGCTTTAACCTATTCCTTCCCCTGAGTACAACTAAAGTCCCCGACATTCTACATGAAGTAAGGAGACTCTGAAAGGCAGAGAAAAAGGCAGACTGGTTAGAGACCGAGACCTCAGGACCCAATACCAGTATGGTAGTGAGTTCTGGGTGTTCTTCTTGCTTCATTATCCCAGATGAGGAGCTGAAGAGGCTGACGACCCAGAAATACCAACAGGCACGGAAAACAAGAAGGCCTGACAAACGCCTGTTCTCTCAGGCCAAAGGGCCAGGAAAGGGGCAGCCCAGGAAGACGGAAAGCTGTTGGGGAGTAACCGCTCTACTCCAGCCAAATACCACAAAACACCTGTGATCTCACTCCCATCCACACCCTCAAGAACACACAGGGAGCGGAGCCTGGACTTCCAACCTCACCAGGTATGACGAAGTGCCCACCCCCCTGCCAGTGTGTCAGGGAAGGCTGAGTAGGGAGCCTGGACTTCCACCCTGCTAGAGGGCAATGAGACCCCCCATGGGGAGTCAGTGGATACCATGTGGATAGGCTGGACTTTTACTCTCACACGGGTTTAACGAGGTGTCCCTCCCTGTCCCTGCAGGTGGAGTCACAGGAGATCGAGGACTTTGACCACAGCCCAGCAGTAAAGAGGGCATCCACCCACAGTGTCAATGGAGGCCACACGGGGAGCAGCGATGAGGCACTCCCTCCCAGCCAGGGTGGTACAAGAGGAGGACTAGTGGGGAACCTGAACTCCCAGTAACAAGGATCCTCCCCCTGGGGTGTCAATTAAATATGGACTTCCACCTCCACCTATCAGTAATGAGGCAACATCACTCCCTGCTGGAGGGGTGTCAGGGAGAGTCAGATAAAACAGGTTTAAATACGATGCAGAGTCTCATAATGTAATACCCAAAAGTCCAGATTTCAACTGAAAATCACTCACCAGACCAGGAACCAGGTAGATCTCAAACTTAATGAGGAAAAAAAAAAAAAAAAACAAAAAACACACAGTAGCTGCTAACACTGAGATGGCAAAGACATTACAAGTTTCTGGAAAAGACTTTAAAGCACCTATCATAAAAGCGCTTCAACAAGCAATAACAAACATACTTGAAACCAACGAAAAAAATACAAAGCTCAGGAAAGAAAGAAAAGATATAAAGAAGAACCAAACAGAAAATTCAGAACTGAAAAACACAAAATAACTGAAATAAGAAAGTCAATGAATGGTCTCAACAATGGAATGGAGGGAACACAGGAAAGAATGAGTGAATGGAAAATAGGAAAATATAAATTTACCTGCCATGGATTGAATTGTGTCCCAAAAAATATCTGTCAACTTGGCTAGGTCATGATTCCCAGTATTGTGTGATTGTCCACCACTTTGTCATCTGATGTGATTTTCTATGTGTTGTAAATCCTATCTCTCTAATGTTAATGAGATGGGATTAGTGGCATTTATGTAGACTCAATCTACAAGATTAATCTACAATTTAAGCCAATCTTTTTTAAAATATAAAAGAGAGAAGAGAGCAGTGAGACGGGGACTTATACCACCAAGAAACAACAGCCAGGAGAACAGTGTGTCCTTTGGACCCGGGGTCTCTGTGCTGAGAAGCTCCCAGACCAGGGGAAGACTGATGACAGGAATCTTTCCCCAGAACCAACAGAAACAGAAAGCCTTCCCCTGGAGCTGGCACCCTGGGTTCAGACTTCTAGCTTACTAGGCTGTGAGAGAATAAATTTCTCTTTGTTAAAGCAATCCACTTGTGGTAGTTCTGTTACAGCAGCATTAGATAACTAAGACATTACCCAATGGAATAACAAAAAGAAAACAGACTGGAAAAAAAAAGAACAGAACTTCGGGTACTTGTGGAACTATAACAAAAGATCTAACATTCATGTCATTGGAGTCCCAGAAGGAGAGCAGCATTGAGGGTGAGGCGGAAAAGTACTTGAGGAAATAAAGGCTAAATACTCTCCGAACAGGATAAACCCAAAGACAACCACACCAACACATATATTCAAACCTCTGAAAGCTAATAACAAAGACCATTCTCTCAGAGGAAGTAAAACTAAGAATTTGCTTCTGGCAAATCTACCCTAGAAGAAGGGCTAAAGGAAGTTCTCTAAACAGAAAGGAAACAGTAAAAGAAGCAATCTTGGAACATCAGGAAAGTCGAAAGAACACAATATAAGAAAAATGTGAGTAAATACAATGGACTTCCCTTCTCCTCGAGTTTTCTAAATTATGTTTGATGGTTGAAGCAAAAATTATAACACTGGTATTGTTCTAAATATATGTAAAGGATATACTTAAGACAATTATTAATGGGGGAGGATAAAGAGACATAAGGAGCACTGGTGGCGCAGTGGTTAAGAGCTCAGGCTGCTAACTAACAGGTTGGCAGTTTGAATCCACCAAGCTGCTCCTTGGAAACCCAATGGGCAGTTCTACTCTGTCCTATAGGGTCGCTATGAGTCAGAATCCACTCAACAGCAACGGGTTCTTTTTTTTTAAAGAGACATAAAGGGAGGTAAGATTTCTACATTTCACTTGAACTGGTAAAATGATGATACCAGTAGACTATGATAAGCTCATGCGTGTGTGTATATACATAAATGTACAAATACATATGCGTGTGTGTATATATATATACCACATACATGTGTTTGCATGTGAGTATATGTATACTTACACATGCACATACATATGCACATACATATATGTATATGATTCTATATATACACACATATGTATACACGCATGCACAGATAAGAAATAAAGCAACACTAAAAAGCTGTACTAACAGACACACTAAAAAACAATGTTGTTGTCCAAAATGAAATGTAAAAAAACTTTCAAGTAACCCATAGGAAGACACAAAAAAGAGAACAGAATAGAAAACAAAAACATAGAAAAAATAAAATGGCAGACTTAAGCTCTAACATACCAATAATTACATTAAATGTAAATGGTCTAAATATACCAATTATAAGATAGAGACAGGCAGAGTGGACGAAAACACATGATCAAACTATATGTTGTTTACAAGAAACTCACTTTAAATGAAATGATATGGGCAGATTAAAAGTAAAAGTATGGAAAAGGATATACCATGCAAACATTAATCAAAAGAAATCAGGAGAAGTTATATTCATATCAGATAAAGTAGACTTCAGAGCAAATAAAATGACCAGACACAGAGAGAAATATTATGTAATGATAAACGGGTCAATCTTCCAAGACACACAGCAATCACAAATGTGTATGCAAAAACAAAAAGCTGCAAACATGTACAGCAAAAGCATGTGAAAGGAGAAATAGACAAATCCACAATTACAGTTGAAGATTTCAACACTCCTCTCTGATCAACTGATAGAACAACTAGATAGAAAATCTGTAAGGATAGAAAAGGAATCAATAACCTCATCAACCAATAGGATCTAATCAACAGTTATAGAATATTCCACACACCAACAGTAGAATACATACTCCTTTCAAGTGTCCATGGATCATATACCAAGACAGACCATATCCTGGGTCATAAAACAAACCTCAGCAAATCTAAGCGGATTAAAATCATATAGAGCGTGCTCTCCAATAACAATGGAATCAAAATAAAAATCAGTAACAGAAAGAGGAAAATCTCCAAACACTTGGAAACTAAACAATACACTCTAAATAATCCATGGGTCAAAGAAGTCGCAAGAGAAAATCAAAAAATATATCAAAGTAAAAATACAACATATCAAAATTTGTGAGATGCAGCTAAAGCAGTGCTGAAAAGGAAATTTTTAGTACTAAATGCATACATTAAAAAAAGAGGAAAAGTGTCAAGTCAATAATCTAAGTTCCCATCTTATGAACCTAGAGAAAGAAAAGCAAAATAAACCCAAAGCAAGAAGGAAAGAAATCATAAGGATAAGAGCAGATATTAGTGAAACTGAAAAATCAATGATCAAAAAGTGAGTTATTTGTAAAGATCAATAAAATTGATGATCTTCTAGCAAGAGTGACAAAGGAAAAAAAGAAAAGATACAAAGGAACAACATCAGGAATGGCATAGGGGCTATCACTACAGATCCTGCAGACATCAAGTCAATAATAAGGAAATAGTACAAACAACTCTACACACAAATTTTAAGACAAAATGGACCAATAATTCTTAGAAAAACACAAACTACTATAATTCACTCAATCTGAAACAAATCATTTGAACAGCCCTATAATTATTAAGGAAGTTGAATTGGTAATTTAAAACTTCCCGAAAAAGAACTCTCTAGGCCTAAATGGTTTCATTAGAGAATTCTATCAAACAGTGAAAGAAGAATTAATACCAGTTCTATATGATCTCTCTCAGAAAATAAGAGGGAACACTTCTCAATTTATTTTCTGAAGCCAGTACTATTTAGACACCAAAGCTGGACAAAGACAGCACAAACAAAATTACAGACCAACATCCTTCACGAACACATATACAAAAATCCTTACAAAGTATTATAAGTAGAATTTAACAATATATAAGGACCAACTTCAATTTATTCCAGCGATGTAAGGCTGGTTCTATATTTGAAAAGCAATCAGTGTAATCTACCACATTAACAGGTCAAAGAAGAAAAATCACAAAACTCAAAACAGATCACAGACTTAATATAAAATGCAAAACTATAACACTGCTAAAAATAATTGGGGAAAATCTTTGGGATCTAGGGCTAGGCAAAGAGTTCTTAGACTTGACACCAAAAGCCCATTCAACAGCAGCTGACAACAAAAATGAAGTTTAATTTAAGAAAAAACAAACCAGGAAAGCCCCCAGGCCCACGGCCGCCGCATGCTCTGCCCATCCCCACCAGCCGCCAAGGTCTGCTCCCTGACCAGCCCCAGCACACCCCTTTTCTAACCACTCCAGGCGAAGTGTGAAGCTGACACACAGCGCTGTACATGGCGAAGGGTGAGCAGGATGAGCTGATACTACTTTCCTTCTGGGACCATTAGTATTTCTAATTATGAACAAGCTGCCCTAGTCCTTGAGTTACTTTTTAACCAAGAAATGAAGCCAGCCAGTGAAAAATTAATGTACTATCACACGCCGCATAATGTCCACTTGGGCAACGTCTGACTGCATATACGTCCGTGGTCATGCGCGTGCCCTCCGGGGGATGCCCACAGCCAGACTTGGCAGCGAGCCCACCCCGCCGCCCCACACTCGCGGTAACAGGCACTCCAGCTGCTTGGAGGAGTGGGCGCCCAATCCTACTCCTGAGCACCCAGGTCGACAGGCATCACAGGGCCCAGCCAGGGCAGGGATGCCAGGTCCCCAACACTGCTCCCCTGCCTCCTGGGCCTGCACCTGAAGCCTCCTTGCTGCGACCTTCATGGGGCTGCAGGGCTGCGTGCTGGGCACGACCTGGTCCAGCGTTCACCTGAGATGTCCTCAGCAGGAGGTGCTCAGGCCACGCACTGCACAGCAGCTCCCGGGACCATGCGCCTGGGAGCCCCACACCCCATGGACCTAGGCGTTTGCACAATGTCCAAATCACGTAACGTCCTATTTCACAGAATGTATCGTGGACGTTAAGTGACACATGGCCTTATTTTTCTGACAGTCACATCGATGGTGGCCTGGGGCTGTGCCAGGATCCGCAGGCCGGAATCTGCCCCTGCCTCTAGCCTTCTGATGGGTCCTGGCTATACCACCACATGGGAGGGGCAGGGGGCTCCCTCCCGAGACAGCGCTTCAGGGAGGACACTGCCCCAGACCCATCTCCACTGAGCCCCTGTGGGCCCCTCAGAAGCCCACTGTGAAGGGGTACCCTCTGCACAGCACCATGGTGGGGGATGGGCACAGGTCGATGCCAGCCTCTAAGAGCCTGCCAGGTGGCACTGCTCCTGCAGCTCTCACACGGGCTGAATGACATGCTGCCACGAAGAGGCAGGGGGCATGCAGGACCTCCGAGGGGCCTTCAGCGCCCACACAGTGAAAGTCAGAGGGCCACGGCCCATGCAGGGCCAGGTCTGCACTGGTCTTTCCTGTGGCGTCTCTGGGCCAAGACCCTCCCCACCCACACTAAGCACAGCTGCTGCCTGAGAGCAGGAGACAATCTGGGCTTTACTGGGGCCTGCTGTGTCTGCCCGAATGGGGTGGCATTTATGGGATAAACCTGGGCCCAAGAAGTGGGAGCAGCCCAGGCAGGTGGGTGTGGGGCAAGCAGAGGTAGCAGTCACTCCCACCACCCCAGCAGCCAGACTCTGGCTCCTCCTGCACTCCCTTCTGGCCCTTTGCGGTGTAAGGTCTGAAACCAAGGTTCAATATTAAGTGCTGCCCTCACATCTGAGACCTGGTATCTGGAGGGCTTCAAATGGCCTATCTGCAAATTCTCCTCCCCACTCTGCTCGAATGGAGAAGGCCCCCTAGCAAACAACCATCCTTACTGTGGGGACCAGGTACACTGCCTGCTCAGCCTGGCATAGCAGGTTTGTTGCCTGCCAGCCCACAAAATTACTCAGACAAGGCAGTCACATCCTCCACGGCAAACAGGTCACTCCACCCTCTTGTTACTACAAAGCCTGCCCCCCCACGGCCCCTGGTTGTTCACTCTGTTCCCGAGGGCAGCCCGTGTGGCCCTGCATGGTGCGGGGTCCTCCTCTGGGCTGAGTACATGGGACTAATAAACTGCTGTCACTCTCATCTGTCTAGTGTCAGATGTCACGTGTTTGGCCACCCCATAACCCTAGGGCACAAATCCCTCCTCATGCTCTGCTGCGTGTCTCTCATCGCGTGGGCCCCAGGCATGGTTTTCTCACATATCACACCTGCTCCAGTTCAGGAGTCCTAGCATGGCGAGCTGGAGATGTATGCATACTGTACGCATCCCTATCCCATAGGAGAGCTATGGTCTGCGCCCTGCAGAGCGAGGGAACCCCACCAGCTCCCTGGAGGAATGTACCCGACCCAGCCTGGCATACCTGTGAGTGGACCGGGAGCCCCAGGCCCCGCTTATCTGACACTATAACAGTGATCGTGGTCTTGAGGACTGTGGCAAGGAATGTGTTGATCCCGAAGACCAAGGCACAGAGTTCTTTTGACAGAGAAGATGCAATCTGAGACCTTAACAGGGAAAAACAGGCAGAAGTCAGGATTCAATGACAGGAGAACAGGAAGCACCAAGAAGTGTAACATGGAAACCCCACTTGGGTGGCAGTCAGTGCCTCCTTGGTAACGAAATGACCGTTAGGTGCAGCCCACCTGCCCGTCTTGCCCATATGCATGCCTGGCTCTGCACCTGGCTCTGCCCATCACACCAAGCAGGGGTCAGTGATGCCTACGAGGCATCAGGAGGACTAGCCCAACAGCTCAGGCCACTCGCCTGGTGGTGGGGGAGGACACGCTCCAGGCTGTTACACTGGGCAACAACTCCATCAAACAAGTGCAAAACACAACTGCAGGGAGATGCTCAGAAGCTTTCCTACTCAACCCTGGGAGCAGAGACCAAATCAAAATTGTTATGAAACTCTCTGACGATGTAACCCTGAGAACGGGATATTAGCAAAACCTGTGGGCAGACAGCAGTCACTGGGAAAAGTCTCCAATGAGTCTTCTGCCATTCAGTGAACAGAGTATTGGACTCAATATGTCAGGGAAAGCACAGTAAGACATTTCAGGAAAGCAGGAGGAATTAATAAAAGGGAAAGCAGAAACTATCCTTAGGGAAGTGGTAGTTTGGACAAATCCAGATGATGACTCTCAACAAGTAAACAAAGAGACAGACCACGTTCCAGACAGGGAGAAATCGCCATGTCAGATCTCCCAGCCCTCTGCAAAGTGCATTAAAAAGTTAATTAGTACCAACTAAATCCTCAAAGGGCTTTTAACAAATGGACAAAAGATGTTCTAATGTTCACCTGAAAAATAAAAGAATAAAAACAGCCAAGAAAATGTTAAAAGGAAAACGTGAAAAGGTACCTGTACACATCTCCTTAAACCATACATACACTCTAAATAAAGACAACCGTAAGCAGCTTACACTGTTAGATTTTCGAGCTGGTGATGGAGAGATACAGGGAAAAGCAACCGGAAGTGAATGAAACACCAGGATACACAGGTCGACAGAACAGAAGAAAAAGCCCAAGCAGAAGCAAGCAAAGACAGGAATATGTGATGAAGCAGGTAATCCAGGGAGAAAGGGTCTGGAAAAGAAATGAAGCAGATCTGAGGTCCCGCCACTGCCCTCAGCCCCTCGACTCTGACCTGGGGTAGGATGCAGAAAAGACCACACTTCACACAGCCCCCAGTCACCACAGGTGAAAGTAAAGGCAACCTGTGAAACAAGGACACAGCGGTAACCTACGTGACAGATGGCTTGCCATCCTCATTCCAATGGAGTCTCTGGGTGGCAAAAACAGTTAAGTGCTCGGCTGCTAACACAAAGGCTAGCAGTTCATATCCACCAGAGGTGCCTTGGAAGAAAGGCCTGGTGCGCTACTTCCGAAAGATCAGCCAGTGAAAACTCTACAGAACACAGTTCTGCTCTGACAAACATGAGTCACTGTCTTAGGCTGGGTTCTCCAGAGAAGCAAAACCAGTAAGATATATACACATATATTATACATATGTATATACGTATATATAAAATACGTGCATATATTGTATACATATAACATATATAACTATATACTATACATATATATATATATATATATATATATATATATATATATATATATATACACATATATAGAAAGAGACAGATTTATCTCAAGGAAATGGTTCATGCAGTCGTAGAGGCTGGCAAGTCCCAAGCCCACGGGTCAGGCGTCAGGCTGGAGGCTTCTCCTGACTCACGTAGCTACAGGGGCCGACGAACCCAAGATCCACAGGCCAGACAGCAGGCTGCTAGCTCATAGCTGAGAAGGCTGACAAATCCAAGATTGGCAGGTAAGATGGCAGGCTGCTGCCGCAAGTCCCAAGAACTGGAGGTCAGGTGCTGACGAGCCAAATGCAGGATCCAGAGCAGAGCAAAAGCCAGTGAGCTTTGCCAGAAAGTTCACCTATACTGGATGCAGGCCACACCCCCAAGAAACTCCCTTTCAACTGACTGGCTGCTCACAGTGGATCCCATCATGGAGGAGATCACATTATATTAGATCTCATCATGGAAGTGATCACATCATCATACGACTGCCAAACTACATCATAACTGCCAAACCACTGAGAATGATGACGGAGCCAAGTTGACACACAACCTTGATGACTGTAGTCCACCCCTTGTCAACGTGGCACCTGTACGCATCTCCTTAAACCATACATACACTCGAAAGACAATTATAAAGTCATACTTGTGCCTAACATGATACAACAGACGTACAAAAACACACTAGCCCTGTTTACATCTTACATTTCATAAGAAAACAAAAATATTGTGCTTTAGGTAAAAGTTTACATAGCAAATTAGTTTCTCATTAAACTGTTAATACACAAATTGTTGTCAATCCCGTGATGTGTTCCCTTCTCTGTCCTGGGTTGTTTCCATTTGTCCAGTTTGCCTGTCCCTTCCTGCCTTCTCGTCTTTGCTTTTGGGCTACTGTGCCCATTAGTCTCCTTTGCACGAATTGAACTATGAAGCACGTTCCTCACGTGTGTTACTGCTGGCCCTATAGACCTGTCTAATCTTTGGCTGAAGAGTGAACCTCAGGAGTGACTTCAGTACTGAGTTGAAAGGGTGTCTGGGGGCCATACTATTGGGGTTTCTCCAGTCTCTGTCAGACCGGCAAGCTTGGTTTTTATTTTTTTAAAACAACAATATTTGATGCACACATACAAGGCAGAAATACTCATAACAATTACAACCCTCATTTCTGCAACTGGTCATGAGGTCACAACTGGTATTTAGAACCACCCTCTTCTACCACCCATTCCGTATTCCCTTTGCTCTCAGCAACCACTTCAGCTGGTCGTGGTTCCTTGCCTGGTGGGGTGACCCAAACATTCATTCTGGAAGGGTCTGGGCCATTAGTAGTCATGTTGGAATTGGGTTGCTGTACTTTTTCCATTAGCATGAATCACAGAGCATGTTAGTAGTACTAAGAGACGCCCTAAGGGATCTCCTGTATTCCAGACATACTCTTCTCTACCTCCATCAGGTAATATCAATCCAATTTCCTCTTGGTAATCAATGACACCAGCCAGTATGGTAACTCCCTTCTTTGCCTGTTGATTCAGAGGCATAAGGAGCCCAAAGTGGCCAGGTGGCATTCTTAATTTCCAGTTCAATGGAATCAGTGATGTGTCTCCAGGTGGGAGCATTCTCCCCTTTGGAACTAAGACTTCTAGACCCGCAGAGCATAGGGTTGCAGGGACGGGAAGCAAAAATTTTGCGATTGGGTCACTAGGGGTAATAGTGAGTGGTGTCACTCCCTTGATTCCTGGACCCATGAATCCTGGCTATGGGAGAAAAGGCACTATATACTGGACACTGGTGTAGAGGACATACAGCCTCCTGCAGAACATTGCCCCAACCCTGCAAGGTACTGACACCTAGCTGGCACCACAGTGTGTCTTTAGAAGGTCATTCCATTGTTCTCTCAAGCCAGCTGCTTCAGGATAGGGAAAATGGTAAGACCAGTGAATTCCACAAGCATGGCCCATTGCTGCACTTCATTTACTGTGAAGTGAGTCCCGTGATCCGAGGTGATGTTGTGTGGGATACCATGACCATGATGGTGGATAAGGCATTCTGTAAGTCCATGGATGGTAGTTTCAGCAGAAGCACTGCATGCAGGGAAGGCAAATCCATATCCAGAGTAAGTGTTTATTCCAGTAAGAACAAAACGCTGCCCTTTCCATGATGGAAGTGGTCCAATGTAATCAACCTGCCACCATGCTGCTGGCTGATTACTTTGAGGAATGGTGCCATACTGGGGACTCAGTGTTGGTCTCTGCAGACGGCAGACTGGACACTCAGCAGTGGTTGTAGCCAAGCTGGCCTCGGTGAGTGGAAGTCCACGTTGCTGAGCACATGCATAACCTCCATCCCTGCCACGACAGCCACTTTGTTCAAGAGTCCATTGGGGAATGACGGGAGTGGCTAGGAAAAGAGGATGACTGGTTTCCACAGAATGTATCCTCCTATCCACTTGATTGTTAAAATCCTCCTTGCTGAGGTCACCCTTTGGTGAGCATTCACATTAGACATAACTATCTTCACTTTGTTGGCCCATTCAGAGAGGTCTATCCACATACCTCTTCCCCACATCTCCTTTTCTTCAATTTTCCAATCATGTTACTTCTAAGTCCCTGACCATGCAACCAAACCACTGGCCACAGTCCATGAATCAGCATACAAACACACATCTGGTCATTTCTCCTTCCAAGAGCCTTCCTTTGTTCTGGGCCCCACTCAAAACTAGCAGCTTTTTGAGTCATTTGATAAACAGGTCACAGTAACACACCCAAATGAGGGATATGCTGCCTCCAAAATCCAAAGCGGCCCACTAGGTGTTGTGCCTTCTTTTGAACTGTGGGAGGGGCCAGACGCGATAACTTATCCTTCACTTTAGAAGGAATATCTTGACATGCCACACACCACTGGACCCCTAGAAATTTCACTAAGGTGGAAGGTGCCTGAATTTTTGACAGATTAATTTCCACACTCTAGCACACGTTTTACCAATAAGTCCAGAGTCATTGGCACTTCTTTGTTACTAGGGCCAATCAGCATAATGTCATTAATGTAATGGACAAGTGTGACATCCTGTGGAAGGGAAAGGTGATCAAGTTCCCTGCAGACTAAATTATGACATAGGGCTGAAGAGATGATATATTTCTGAGGGAGGACAATGAAGGTGTGTTGCTGGCCTTGCCAGCTGAAGGAAAACAGCTTCTGGTGGTCCCTCTAAACAGGTATGGACAAAAAAGAATTAGCCTGATCAATAGCTGCATACCAGATAGGAAGAGATGTATTAATTTGCTCAAGCAATGAAATCACATCTGAAACAGCAGCTGCAATTAGAGTCACCACCCGGTTAAGTTTTCAATAATCCACTGTCATTCTCCAAGATTCATCTTTGTTTTGTACAGGTCAAACAGGCGAGTGGAATGGGGATGTGGTG